CATGACAGAGACAAGAAACTGTGCCTGGGCCACTTGGAGAAGGGCAGTGTTAAACCCCGCAAATTAAAATGACTCTTCATGGGGCTGGCGCAGTACAGGGAGTGTTTTATACCACGGTGCAGATGGGGGTCCTCTTCCCTTCCCCTAATGTCTCCTCCTGCACCTTACAGTAATCTGGAAACCTCCAGGCTGTACAAAGAACACAGGCAATGGGTGCAAAAAAGCCAGCACCAGCCTCTGTCTGCTCATGACACCACAGTTTTGGTAAGTGTTTGATAAACACCATATAAAGTCCCATGCTGGGAGCTACTCCCAGCTTGTCTAAATCCCTCCAGGTACCGCAGGCCACTCACATGTCTCCCTGTGGCTCTGCCACTGGGCTTGCTCTAGCACTGTCCATGTGTCTTCCCCAGGCCGTGCTGTTCCTGGCCAGGGGAACTGCCAGCACGAGGAGGACACTGAAGCCCAGGAAGCCCAGGGCATGTGGCAGCAGCCAATGTCCCGGGCTCAGCTGAGCAGGGCAGCTTTGAAAACCAGCTGCAATGCCAGAGCAAGAAGCCCCTATGGGGGAAGGTGCAGCCTGCAGCTGCGGCCAGCTGAAGAAGGTGAGAGGACCACGACCTGGACGAAGCTGATTCCATGAACTGGATGCCTGGCCAATGCTTCTTAAAGCTTTAAGCTTTTGACATTTAATCCTCTGTTGTTGGTGCCAGTGGGTTCCTGCCTCTTGCAAAAATAGGCAGGAACTTGTATGGGGGAGAGGAGCTGCAGGAAGGGAAGGGAAGAGTTAAAAGAGTGGATCTGCCCCGGGTTTGGGTGCCTTTATCTCCTTAGGAAGCACCTCCCTCCAGCTCCTCTGACAAGGGTTTGCCTCCTGAGGCTTGGGGCAGCCGGGAGCTGTGCCGAGTCAGCCACAGCCGGGCTGCGGGGAGCAGAGAGAAGGTGAGATGGGGCCTTGCTTTTATTCACAACAGAGAAACAAAGAGCAACATACAAAGAGTAAGAAGCAAAAAAGTACAGAATCATAACCATAATAATCATAATAATAATCATAAATACTCAACTCTATCATTCATAGATTGCAATGACAACACTGATAGCTTATTATCATTAGTATTAAGAATGGGAGGGGAAAGGGGACAGCAGGAGGGGTTTCCGAGGGGCATTGTCTCCTAAGGGGCAAGATGTAACGGGGATGGACATCCAAAGAAACAAGCAGACAAAGAGAAGGGCTGGGAAAGCAGCAGGGGCTGGGGACGCTGCTGCTGAGGCCAGGGACGAGCCTGCTCTGACCCAAGCCTCTGGCTCAGTGTTGCCAACCTGATCACTGCCCTCCTGCCAGCTTTGCTCAGCCGGGAAGGAGGTGGCTGGGAGGCTCAGCCCTAAGGACAGGCAGAGGCTGGAGGGAAAGGAGCAAAATGTCCTTCCTAGTCTGAAGGAGAGCTGTGATTTGCCCAGTTCTTCATGTGGTGGAAAATGCAGGCCCACTGCACTTTCCACTGCCATCGGACACTCAGCAGCTTTGTTGGTTCCTCTCTTGAAAGAAGAGACCTTTCCTCTCCTCTGCTCACACTTCCACCTCTGTAGGTCACTACAAATGAAACCACCCTCATTAGATCAGCATAGAAAGGTGATTTTCGGTTCCAGTGAGGCTTTGGGATGGGTCAGCTGGCTGTGAAAGCCCATAAAAGACTTGGCTGACAGATGATGTGGAGGATTACCACCCGGCACATCCGTCCTCATGACAACTCACTGCTCTCTGACTCATGGACAAAGTGGTTCATCAGACAGAGTTTGATTTAAAAAAAAAGATAATTGCAAGCCACTTGGAGACCCTGATGGCTTTGGGTCAGGATGTGCAGGAGACATTTGGGCAGGGCTGCTCCATCAAGGCTTATTTCTGGATATAGACTTAAAATATTGTATATATGAGGGTTTCTGATGCACATGCCCAATGTAAAGGAGAGGGATGAATGCAAAGTACATCAAAATAAGGCTGCAGAGGTGGGTCATGAATGTCTACAATCTACTAATCTTAAAATATACTTATCTTTGTTTTGGTTTCAGAGGAGAGAGGAATCCATCGTGTGTAAAACCTCAGACATGTCTCAGAAGCATCCAGCGATGGCAGAGTGTAGATGACAAAAAGCAAACCATGTATCTGCCTCTTTGCAGACTTGCAGGATCTCATTTACAACATGCACCCTCTCCTTCCTGACTTGCTCCATATGCTTTTTTGTGCTTGCAACACACTGTATCATGTAACAGGAGGAATTAGATGGGAGCTTTCTAGTGCATTGTCTCATCTCCCCACCTGGTAGTGCCCACCTGTTGTCCATTCTATTACATCCCTTGGGAAGTCAATTAAGCCTCTCTCCATTGCTCAAAGCTACACCTAACCAGCTCCTGCCAGCAACCTGCCTGGCCTGAGCTCAGTAAGTCTGTGCTGGTACCAACCCTGGAGGACTTTGGGATGGACAGGGACTGAGTGCTACGAGGCAGAGATCAGCAGACAATCACCACTGGCATGCTTGGGAAGAGATGTGGCCACTGAGGAAAGCAGAAGGGCAAGGAGGACCAGAAGTACTCCTTGGACAGGAGGCAGGTGACACTAACACTATGCCCAGTGTGGAGGCACCAGAGGAAGGATGAAGCCTTTTTCTTCTCCCTCCTTGAACTTGACATTGATGCCTATTTAGGATGGCCTGCTGCAAGTGGAGCTCCTGAAAGAGCTGCCTGGCTTGCAAGATGGACCTAAATGCCTTTTGGAGTCTAGAAAGAGAGCTTAGAAAATAGTGTCATCACTGCTTCATGGTGAAAAGAGAGCAATGTTCAGGATGGCAACACTGAGCAGGTCTGAGGTGGCTGCTGGAGGCAATGATGAGTGGTGGGAGGCTTTTGAGGACTGACTATGAGATCTCTCACTCTCATCAAAAATGATGTGGGGAGAGGAGCAGGTGGTCCCTGGCTCTCCAACCACCCCCATCCCTCCCTGCCACACCACAGGGAACCAGTCAGGAGCATGCTGGGGGTCCCCATCATCTCACCAAATAGCTCCATGGAAAACCAGAAAAACTAAAGCCCGAAGAGGGCAAAGGAGTCTCCAGGGAGACTTGCCTCAACTGCGAACATAGAGGTGGTTGAGGAAGACACGAGTTGAAGCCAGCAGCCCCTCCTTGTGTGATTGCAGCTCCTCATGCCTCTGCTTCATGTTCAGTTTTAAACCTGAGATCATTTGGTTTTGTCACGGGTAGTTTGATTTAAAGATAGAAACAAATGACAAGAGGAGGAACAAGGGAAAGGGAGAGAAACCATGTGGACCCAGAAAAGAAAAAAAACAACACTCCAAGGATGACACAGGACACAGACATGCACGAACACAGACCCCTGAGGTATCAGCTTTGCAAACTAGTGCGAGACAAGGGAGAAAGCAAAGACAGCTGCAGGGAGAGATGTGCTTTGCAGTGGAGGCAGCTCAGTGCCTCCAGCTTCAGAAAGCAGCTTCTCAGCAATCCTGACATTGGGGTTTGGGGGCAAGAGCTTCCCACCAGATGGGAGGAAGCAGCCAACAATCTCTGAAAATAAGTCACTTGTGCCCCTCCATGTGCTTGCAGAGCTTCATGTCTGGACAGCTTATCATCCACTGGATGGAAGGGAGCTAGCCTGGAGGGCAACAGGACCGGGGGAGTCCCAGCACCTGCAAACACGCTCCTCCCGAGTTTCTCAGATGTGAAACAAAGGATGTGGGAAGCCAGAAGAACTGCCGCCCCCAAAGGGAAAGTGGTGCCCATACCTTCCAGGCAAGGTAGCGGAGGTGAGAGAAAGCTGAAGGGCTGGGGAAGGCAGGAACGATACCTCCCAACAAGAAATCCCAACTACCACCAGCCTCCCATCCCCTCCCTCTGCTGTGGCAGCTTCCGACGCCTTCCCAATGCAGCTGGAGGTGACATCCTGCAGTGTTCCATCCACTTCAGGGGACTCCCACCCTTCCACCTCCAGCAAGGATGGGCAGCCAAAAGGAGGGGTGTGGAGGAGAAGGGGTATGGCTGGGATTGGGTGACTGCCGGGATGGGGACAATGCCTAGGATGGGATGAGGGCTGGGATGGTGGTAATGGATGGGATGGAGATGAGGAGAAACAGAGACCACAGCTTCCAGAAGAGTTTTCTGGCTCAGTTTGTGTCCTAAGAAGGTTTTATGGTTTGCTCGTTTACTTGTTCATTTCTAGAAAAAGTGCCCAGAAGAGTCTCCTGTCCCTTTGTTGGTATGCCCAGAGAGAAGTGGGGAAATCTATGTTGTGGACATTAACTATAGAAGGAGCCACAGGCCTCAGATATTGCTTAGAAACTCGTATTTCAGATTTAAATACCATACACAGTAAAAATAGAGCTGAAAGTACCGCCCCACATTGTCTGCAAATCATTGCCAGAATGAACAGCTTCAATAAATTAAAAACAAAACAAAAAAATTGAAATATTATTTACGTCTCAATAAAAATTGCAGTAAAACCATTTACCTTTTCTTTTGTGTGTGTGTTTTCGGGTTTTTTTTTCTTTATATTATATATAATATATATTTATATATGTATAGGGCTGCTCCAGTGCAGCATTTTTAGGATACTTAGCCAGAGAAACAGAGGGGAGCATGCTTAGTGCACCAGGGTGCAGGGAAGGGGCAGCTGTGGTCCCCCTTCCAGGTGCCGGGCCCCAACACCACAGCCAAAACGGCAACCCCTGCCTCTTCCCACTTGAGTTTTAGGCCCAAATTTTGAGTGCAGGTCTCTGAGGGCTGGGAGGGAAAGGACCAGGGTGAGTGCAGGAGGGACACTAAGCATCCGCCGCTATGTTTCCCGACTCTGGAAAGACTTGTCCACCTTCGCTTCGGTTTCAGCGCTTGCGCTCCCGAAAATGCACGCGCAAGTATAAATACACCCCCCGACCCCACCCTTCCCGCTCCCCCCAGCTTAAATATCCCCCCGCCCCAGCCCCGTCCCAGGTCTCCAGGCACCCCCAGTGAGTGTCAGGACACCTCGATGATCTCCATGCTGCCCGAAAAGCTGGACTGTTTGCTGATTTTGCCCAGCTCTTCCCGAGCCCTGCCCTCGGACATGGTCTCCTCGAATTCCATCTGGCAGCTCCTCCGCTTGAACTGCTTCTCGGCGCCGGCCTCCTCATGCCAGCTGTGCCGCCCGTCCCGTGGCTCGGCGCGCGCCTTGTCCCTCAGTCTGATCTCGCAGCCAGCCGCCACGGTGCCGCAGCCGAATGGCGCAGGGTACGGGCCCGCGCTGGCGAACAGGCCCCCGCCGCTGCCGCCGCCGCTGCCGGAGTCCTTGCCGAAGAACCAGCCAGCCTCGCCCGAGGCAGAGCTGGGGGACTCCAGGTGCACCCCGCTCCAGGCCGCGGTGGCGGTGGCGGGCGCGGCGGGCGGCTGGCTGAGCCGTGGTGGCAGCCCGTCCTCGGCGCCGGGGCTCTTGCGCGTGGCGCAGGTCCCGCCAACGTTGAGGCTGAGCCCGTGGGCCGGCGAGCCCGCCGCGTGCCGGTGCTTCCGCCGCTGCCTCACCTTGGCCTCCAGCAGGAGCTCGGGCCCCGTGGGCCGGTCGGGGCTGTCCGCCCCTGGGGAGAAGGGGCTGAGGCTGCCCGAGCCCGAGGGGCTGTCCAGCTTGCAGAGTTTGGGGGCTTCCCCAGGTCCAGAGGGCCCAGGGGGGTCCTGCCGCAGGCCGGGGGAGTAGGCGGACTTGATGTCCAGGGAGAAGGAGCGTTTCAGACGGTTGGTGTCCTGGATGCGCTCGGAGGAGAGGTGCAAGCCATTGAGCCCCTGCTGCAGGGTGGTGGGTGACAGGACCTTCGGGGTCCCGCCCTGCCGCTCGGGGTCACTGGTGGGGGACGCCGAGCCGGTGCTCCTCGGCACGTCCTCGGCCTTCTCTGAGGTAGGTGTTAGGGGATGCCGGCTGCTCTCAGCCACCTCTGCTGGGTCCTGCTGGGTGTCCCCCTCGCCCCAGTCACCCTTTGACTTGAGGGCCTTGAGGAGCTTCAGGCTCCTCTCGTACTCCAGGAGCTGGCCCAGGAAGTTGAAGTTGGGCGAGATGGATGGGCGACGGTCCTTAACGAACCTGCCGAGAGGCACAGACAGCCCCGTTGGTGCTTGGTCCTTCAGTGGGCCACCCCTACTCTCTCAGCCTCTTTAGGGAGAAGAGGCATCATCGAGAACCTCCTGACCAGACCATCCAAAGAAAAGGATCTTGGGGAACCATGGGGCCTTGGGATGCCCCAGGATTAGAGCTGGGATTGCCTCCCCGCTCCCTTTTATCACTCCCAACCATTCCTTGTTGCATGCACTTTATGAGGGGAGCTTTGGTTTGGTTTTACTGGGACCCAGCCAAGGCAAGACAGAGCTTCAAGAAGCCCTGACCTCTCCTTCTGGGCTCAGCCTGCTTTCCTTCCCCGGAGTGAAGCATACTGGCACAACCCCCCACTACCCTCAGGGGAATACTCACCTGTAAGCATCATCTGATGACATACCCATGGTCTTCATGATGTAGGCGATGGCAATGGTGGCTGACCGGGAGATCCCAGCCAAGCAGTGCACAATCACCTGGCAGCTGGACACCTTAGCTTTGTCTGGAGCATGGCAGAGGAAACAGAGAGAACAGCGAAGGTGAGCAAAATGGTTCTAGCCTCCCTCCCCAGCCCTCAGCCCCTTTGTGTGAGAGCTGCTGGGAGCAAGACCAGGGAGGACAGAAGAATTCAGGTTGTGAAGGCTGAAAATTGGAGGGTCTGCAGCCATAAGAAAAGCTCACCGATGAATTCAATGGACTTGTCCAGCCAGGGAAGCAGCTTCTCACAGTAGTTGTCATTGACAGGAATGCGCATGAAGTGACTATCACAGATGAAATCTGGCTTGGGACAGGAGTTGCTGGCATTTAGGACATAGCTTATCCCGTTCTGTGTCATCAGGTCCTGGTGGGAAAGAAGCCATCAAATGATCAGCTGAGTTCAGCCCGCACCATGTACTCAAGGTCTGTCTCGCCATGCACACTCCCTGTCTTTTCCCATCCCAGCATTTTCTCCTGTGGGTCTCCTAGTGCTGCCTTGGCCTAGCTGATGATAATACAGCAGAGACCAGCTGAAAAGCTTGTGTCAATTTAGATGACACAGGTTTGAACCTCAGTAGATCTTTATTTTGGTCCAAGTAAAGTGATCAAGGCCAAGGACACCTGGAAAGGGGTCCCAGAGGGGAATACCCAATAACCCCAGTATGAGAGGAATAGGACAATACAAGAAAGAAAATTGGCAAAAACTCTGTCTGAAAGCTGTAAAAGTATCAGCTGAGGGAGAAAGGAGACATCTCATCAAAGAGCGGAGTGAGTCACTGGTAGCACCCTACATTGACCAGTGTGGCCAGAAGATGCTCTATCCACAGGCTACAGAGTGAGGTTAAGGGTGGAGGCTTTGTGTGGGCAATGCTTCTCTTCTACAGCACGTGACCACATTGTGGGGATGGCAGAAAACACAGTTCTAAAACATGAACAAAACCCTCCAAGGAGGGAAGGAAACCATTAACTTCCCCATCTGGCATTGACTCCTCAGGATTTTGGCCCCAGGATTTCAGCCCTGGCTCTCCAGTGACCAGTTCCTGCCCTTCCAGCGGGCTTGATGGAGCCAGTCCAGCTCCCAGGCTCACATTCCTGTAATTTTTTTCTTTAATTTCCTTCTACTCCCTGTACATAATTTTTCTCTCCCTCCTTTCTGTCTCCAGCTCCAGTCTGGTGTCACGATCCCTCTCCTTCCTTGCATCTCCTCCATGGACAAAGATGCCTGGCTGACTCCCTCATGGCTGCAGTAGGGAGATGCTTGGCAGTACTTTTAACTGCAATTCCTCTTTCTTTCTTCTCATCATTACTTTTCCTTTAAACAAAATTCCTTCCCTGTGTGACATCACAGCATAGCCTTTCTGGCACCTTTTAAAGGGCACTGTGTGGGAAGGAGAGGAATCCTTAATAACTTCACCCCTCTGCATGACTGGGGTCCCCAGTGGGACGGGGAAGATGTGTCCCCTCGACAGGGCTGTACCTTGTTCAGGACATCCTTCTGGGAGCCCAGGTAGAGATGTGGCAGGATGCGTGTGGGGCCAACGTTGGCCACAGGCAAGCATGGCTGGGAGATGCTCATCGGCAGGATGGCAGCTGGCTTCCCCTCACAGAGCCCTGGGAAGCAGGATGAGAAGGTGGCAAAGCCTCCTGTGGAGAAAACAGGGACATTGAGCTTGGAGCAGCAAGGCCAAGATCATCAGTACCTGGCACCCCGAGGCCCAGGCTGGGGACAAAGTGGTGATAACCCTGCAGCCCTGGAGCCTCCAGGAGCAACAAGCCACCAGCCACCACTGACCAGTGCACATACATTGTGATGGCTGTGACAGGCACACGGAGAAAGGAATGGAGAACCAGCTCTGATGTTTCCCTGTCACAGCTGGGTATTAATGCACGTGTGAGGCATCCCACACCCTCTCCAATGAAGTTGGCTCTTCTCAACTTTAGCTGAACAGCAGGAAGAGACAGTCCTTTTCTTGGCTCCCGCCTATTCTGAGGACAGGGCCACCTTTTGATAGCAAAATTCATCAGGATAAGGATGACGACAACGAATCCCACTGAGATGCAAAGCTCCTGGGGTGTGGGAGGTCAGCCCAAACCTTCTGCTCTGGCTACACTAACACATCACGATTTCTGAGAGACAGCCCCTCTGCCCAGCCCTGCCAAGCCAATGACATCTGCTACATCATACTGGTATAATGGTACTTGCAGGCCACTGCTCTTCTTCATGCTATGACCTTGCTGAATGTGATAGCAAGCAGTGTCCAGTTTAGTGCACCAAGCTGCTGGGAAGTCACACTCAGCTTGAGCATCTTGAAGCCCAGCGTTGAAAGAAAACCCCCAGCTGAGGCTGCAGTAGCTGGCAGCCAGAGCTACTGTCACAGTGTCTGTCATGGTCAAAAGCCTGAGAGCCTGTCCTGAAAGCTTGAGCAGGGCTGCAAGCCTTGCCCTGCTTGCACAGTGGGCAGCAAGGGGAGCTGGAAAACCCCAGGTGCTGTTGCATGTCCTGCACAGTTCCATAAGACCACTGGTGATCCTGATTTGCTCTCACTTGCTGATCCCGTACGCCAGGGTACAGCCAGGTCTGGCTAGCAGTGGCCTAATTTCACTCCCCTCCAGCTGAGGACAGCTGGGTGGCAGCTTCATGCAATGGAGAGGAGATTGAGTCATAGCTGCCTCAAGTCTCCCTTGAGGTTTTCCCAGTTATGTGAATGAGCAGATGCAGCTTGACATCAGCCAAAGGGCAGAGCAGACTTGGGGGCTTGACCGCCTTTGACTGTCAAAGGGACCAGGATGCTCCCACAAGATCCTTTTGAAAGCCCAAGTCTCTAGACTGAGCACCATGAGAATCCCTGGCCCATCTCCACAGCTAAACAAGACTTTTTAATGAGCCAGTCCCTCTCCCCTTTGGAAGCAAGGCAGCCTTGGCATATTCTCAATTTACCTTCTCCAGCATTTGGGCAACATTTCTGCTGATCCTCCTGGAGCACCCTTCTGGCTGCTGATGTGGCACCCACGCTCCAGAGAGGCATGACTGGTGCTGCAGACAACCTATCTGACATCTTTGTGAGATGAAGGTGATGGAGAAGCCAAAGCAGTGCACAAAACCATGCTCATACCACTTGGGAACATCCAAGGTCCTCCACCACACTCCACCTCAGCACCTCCTGGTGTCAGTGCCCACTGGCCTAAGGGGATGGTGTTCTCCAAGAAACCTCTTTCCTCCTCACTCTTATGTTTTCCTGTCTGGCAGCTAACACATCTCCCAGCTTCAAAACCCAGTCAAGACAGGAGGGGTAGAGTTAAAGCACCTTATCTTTTCCAGTACTTCCTTTTCTCTGTCTCCCTCCAAAATGACATCACCTCTCAACTGGGATATTAAATCAGAGCAAAAGCAGGAGGGCCAGCACAGGTGCAGCATAGCTCTGGTTACTGCTCATCCCTGCACTGTGTCCCCGTTGCCAAGGACTGTCCATCACTAGCCAGAGCTCTGCACGGACACATGCGACCTCCCCGCTTTGTCTCGTGCTGATGCCTAGGGGATGCTGGGGCAGAAACCCCCTGGGAAGTGTTTCCTTCAGCTATCCCTAGAGAAGCCTGCAGCATTTGAGTGGGGCACACATCTGACCCTGGGCTGGTGTGAAACAACGCGGGAATTTTTGTGAAGGAACACGGCGCATTTTTAGGGAGCAGGGTGCACACAAATGCAGCCTCAGGGATCAGTGCCTGCTCTGGTCCATAGGTGGCCAGCCTCTTGCACTCACTCACATTCATCAGGAGCTGCCCAGGGCAGTGGATGGGTTTGTATGACTCTTCAAGGTGATCTCATAGTTCAAGCAGGTCAGGGCATGCTGCTCTCTCCCCGTTGCCCGCCCCCAGCACACTCAGCTGGCAGCAGATCCTCTGCCAGCCCTGCCTGGGGAAATCCAGGCAGGAGCTGAGGAGGGCTGTGAAGCAGGCAGGGATGTTTGTTGAGTGGCAGCAGCACCCTCAGCTGCAGTGCCTACCAGGGCAGGCGGCCACAACTGGAGGATGCTGGCACCTGAAATGATGTCCATAGCTCACCTCATTTGTCCTAAGCAAAACCTCAACTCTGTGTCTGGGAGTCCAGGCATGCTCCCAACCCACCTGTCCTCATCTCCCCCATACTTGCAGCTGCTGAGGGCAGCCTGGGCTTGGGGGAAACCCTAGAGATGGGGCCGGGTACTTGACACCATCCCAACATGGAAGCGGCACTCACCCCACCCTGCAGCGGCTGCTCCAGCATGCCTTTCATTTTTTGAAAGCGAAGCAGCTCTTTAAACAATCCCAAAGGCAGTGAGTGTCCCTGGCTGGGCTCCAACTGATACCTGGGCTTTCCTCCCCTCTATGCCCCAGGCCACGAATCCCAGATTTTGCTGGGAGAGAGCAGCAGAGCCCAGTGATGTGAGGAGCCAGGGTAGCTGCAGTTCTAGCCTTTCCTCTTTTATTCGCAGTGCTGGTGCCAGGAGCACCATTTCTCTTGGCACGTGTGGAATTTAGCTCAGGAAGGATTTGTATTTGTCATGGAGTGGGTGTCTGGGGATCTCTGGTTTCTTCTGGATGCTCCCCTACACTGGTGAGGGCTTGCTGGGGAGGAGCTGGTTCTTGTGTCACAGCCTAGTGAGCTGCTCAGGGCTCCAATAGGAAGGGTTCTCAAAACCATTCTCTGGAAAAAAGTGTCTGCCTGCCTACTGTAATTACCTGAGGCAGAAATGGTGCCCAGGAAGAGAAGTGGGAACTGAAAGGGAAGGGAACCAGAACAAAAGTGGGGATGCTTTCACTGCAGCTGCTGAAAATGGAGGAAAGAGGAGCCAAGAACCAGCACCAGACAGGTTCTAGGAGGCCTAGGAAGTGAAAATCACCCTCCTGGAAGTGAAAATCACACGGAGGCACAGGGTGTTGCAGCAGCTTAGTGCCAGAATAGTGCAACAACAGAGACCTCTTATCTCCTCCGAGGCTTCACTCACATAGTGCTGACCACCCTTCCACCTCCTGCTGTGCCCTGCAGAGACCTCTGTGGGCCAGCCCCCAGCCCTGCTCTGCATGGCCCTTCTGTCAAACAGAGGACAGAGGAAAACAACACAACTTCTCCCCATCCCCGTCTTTGCCAGGCCCTCCCCTCTGTGCACTTTCCAGCTGAACAGCTATGATAACCTCCCAGTGAAACTGGATTTTGAGAACAGATGCTGCAAAAGGAAGGTAAACAGCCCTGGGAATCCTCCTCAAGTCTGTCCATCAAGCCAGAGGGAAGATGCCAGCAGCATCTTTGAACAGGCTGCTGTGGTACCTGCACTGCTGCAACTGTTGGGAGCCGTGTGACTCCTCCCCTCCAGCAGCAAACTGCACAGTGAGGTTGCAGTCCCTGCACCAGTGTCTGTCTACGGCCCTGAGACAGCTGTAACCAAAACGAACAAAAACACAAACACGGAAAGAGATTACAAGATGTAAGGACAGGAATGTTGCGCTGCTGAGCTGGGACTCTGACACAGCTGGAGAACCCTCCACTGCCCTGGCTGTCACCATCAGGTGGTCTCTGGGGACATCCCAGTCACAGCTGGGTCACTGACAACATTGCAAGTAAAAATCTGTCGCTTGTGAATTGCGCTGTGCTCTTCTCTGCCAAGACTGGGCAGCAGTGGTGGTGCAGAGAAGGTGACAAAGGAGGTGACGAAGTCCTGGCTAAGGACAGGGATGTGGTGTGGCATTATTTTCCTTCTGGTGCTAAGCCTCAACTTTAGGGATTTACAATCCATTAAGCTGCATGAGATGTTAACAGAGACGCTGCGGAGGATAAAAGGAAGGTGTGGGACACATAAAGCTGGATATCCCAGCTCCTGGTTGTTCTCTGTGTCCCTCCCTGCACTGAGACCTTCTTTCTAGGCTGGAGGTGTAAAGTGGAGCTGGGACTTGAAAAGCCTCTCACACCTTGCTCTGCTGGATGCACTCTGTGCATTCATCTCCAGCCTCACCTCCTTTTTCAGAGGCCTCTGAAACAACCCAACAGCTCTGGCCTTGATGCTGTGCCCTGCTGACTGTAAGAAGCTGTGAAAGGGCTGCCCAGGGCACCTGCCTCACCCCAAAACTGCTCTTCAAGAGAGCCACATGCCTCTTGAACACCCCCAGCCCCATGAATCTCATAGAAGCTCCCCACAAGACACACAGAACAGCATGTCCTGTTCAGCAGCCTCCCCTGTGCATTGCAGGCTCAAAGGTCCCCACCAAGAAACAGGGAAGAGGTGACATGTCACGCTGCTGTGCCAGCGGTTTGTGGCAGCAAGGAGGAGGAGATCCAGAGCTGGAAATCCTCCCTGGGCCAGCAGCTGCCACACCCCACTGCTCACCCCCAGCTCTCACACCGGAAGCTAGAAGGAGACCTACAGGGGCATTAAAAATGTGTTTTAAAGCCCACCCTCATCGCTGCAATAATGAGAGTTAGAGAGCAGCAGCCGGAGCTGTTCAGAGACCGGCTCCCCAAGCAGCTGCCAGAGGTTTTTGCGGCAGGCCACAGCCCCACCAATGAGCTTTGTGCCTGCGCTTGTGCTGGAGACCCTCTGCCCTGCTGAAGCTCCTGGCAGCTGAGGGGGCTGAGAGAGGCCAGGCTCCGGCCGGCTCTCATTAAAATGCCTGCGGTGGCTGGGAGCTGCTGCCAGGGCGGCACGTGGCAAGGAGCAGCGGGGCATGCAAGCGAGCACGCGCCTCGGCTTGCTGCTGGAGCAGCCGCCACGCCGGCATGGCTCCCGCACTGCTGCGTTGTCTTGGAGGCCACGATGGTGCCTGGATACCCCCTCTTCATCAGCCCAGCCCCTTGGGGGACATGCTGCTCCCAGCACTCCGACCCATCCATCCCTAGGTGTTTAAAGCACCTTGCTGAACTGAGGTACAGCAGGAGATGGTAAGAGCTAGGGGGACCTGCAAAACCCCAGCCCTCACCTGCATCATGTTCAGCCTTCTTATGACAGTGAGCCTGAGTGCTTGGTCGAGCATCTCTGCCGCAGGTTGAATTGAAGGACAGAAAATGGAGGGGCCTGGCAAGCTGCACATCAACCCCCAGAGCCGCTGGGAAAATCCCTCTTTGCAAAACGCCATCTCCCTGACTCTCGTGCTGGGTGGGAGCCTGTTGGTGCCGGCAGCTAAGGGCGGCACGATGAAACACTGCTTACTGCCACCCTTACTCACCGTGCTCCAGGGAGCTCCGGGGCTTTGTCAGCATTTCCTGCTGCCTGGGACGTGCCTGAATTTTCCCCCTGCCTCCATCCTCACTGTTTCCCCGGTACTGTAGTCCCCTTTGATTTTGCCCATCCCTCCCAGCAATGCCTGATGTGGACACAACACGTTTGCTTGCGCATCCTTCCCACAAGACTGGTGAAATCCTGGTGCTGCAGCCTGCCCAGCTTGCCCTCTCCTGGCTGATGCTCTTTTATGTCCTCCCATCTCAGTGCACTGGAGAAAGATGTCCGGTTTTCAACCAGACTCTTTTTCCACTCCCCTACTCCCCTGACCAGGTTTCACCATCCCCTCATTTGGCACAA